ACTAATACAAAATAAATTAGGATTTTTTTGAAGAATTTAACTTTTTTTAATGACTTTTTTCATTTTAAAATAATTTGTTTTTTGTCGTTTTGAATCCACAAAATACTTTTTTGGGGCCAGCACTGACTGGCCAAGCAATCTCACGTGATCCTCTGCAGCAGGTGATGGCCAAGTGGGGCGTGTCATTACGACTTTACACCTCCGCGGCAGAGGCTCCACCAAACCCCTGAGACCGGCTCGTCGAACCCTATAGGGTTCGGTCGAACCCAGGTTAAGAACCACTGCCCTAAAGGGAAATGACTTTGTCACCAAGAGGACAAGAGATCAGCATGTGTTGCAGTGGTTTAAGTTACAGGATTAGTAACTAAGAAGATGACTTAAAATGAGAAGTGTTCTGTTATTTGTATGAATCTTTAAAGTAATTTATGTTTTTTGATGACATTTTGTAGTTGTTTTGGCTCTTGTGTTTTTAAGTAAGACACACGTTTCTTATGGAAAATGACAAAAAAGAGTAAAAACCCAGTCATGGTCCTTTGTTTGTCATTTGTGCACACAAAGTCATGTGTGTTCACCATGACAACACTCTTTGTGCTTTGCATTTACGTCCGATGGCGGCTGAGATTCCACGGGGAGGCTGTGCATTACAAGATGAGGAGAGATTAGAGCACAGTGGGTTAATCTTCAGGCCCACCATCTGCCAGTGCCATGAAAATAAAACCTGAAGGTAAAGCTTTAACTTTACCAGCAACGTATAAAAAAATCTAACAGGTGACTGGAACCAATAAATCAAACATGTTATCATGAGGAGGTCATCAATCCTTGTTCTCTGTACATAATTGTGTTGCCGTCAGAAGAGCTGTCACTGTGTTTGCTGCTGAAGGTCGAACATCCTATATTCATATATTCATTCAGCAAACTGATGTGCATCACCTTTCTTTGTATTTGTTACTCTTCTATTAGGGTCTAAACTTGTGTACACAATAAGCAGAAACTGTAAACCTAACCCTGTAATATAGTTTTTATTATGCTGCTAAAGCGGCAGAATATCTTCACCATAATTATTATATTGTTTTTGTAAAAAATCTCCTGCATACAATATATGTGGTAGTAAAGGAATGATGCAACTTGTTCTTTATGTACTTTTTTCTCATATGTTACCTGAGTGAAAACACAATTTTTTTTTCATTTGCTTGCCATTAAAATTTCAGAAAAAAACATTCATGGCAAAGTTTAGATTTCCTAAATTTATGTTTAACAAAAAATAAAAATAAAAGACATGAATAGGTCATTTGGAGGACTTTGAGTTCATTCTATTTCAAAGTGATTCTATGAAACACACAGATTAGCATACAATAAAGTGGCTCACATCAGCAGTAACTAATCTGCACATATATGTTCACAGACCAGATGGATGGCTCATGTGACCTATGAAAAATATGAGTTTTTAAAGACTTGGATGTTGTCGTGCAGTTGTCATTTATTTTTATCTGTGAGGGAGAAGAACAGACACATAGTTGTTTATTA